GATAAAGCACATATCTGCCTGTGTTAAAGTGTGGTTATAGTGTACAGAATATGGTACAGCATGTCCTCACTTTTTAAATGCATTGAATGTTGTTTGGTCTTTATTAATTTAAGAGTTAAATACATTCTGAAAAAATAAGCTTAACCTTTTTTATTTTTTTAACCAACTTTTTAAAATAAAAAAGTTGCAACATTTTATGACTAAAACCCAGCATATGATCCAGAGATACAAATCATTCAGACAAGTTTTATTGTTTTCCTTTTTGTAACATTTTTTTTATTTTATGAGAACTGAGACTCTTTTATTTTCTTTCACTCACTCCCTCTGTAATTTTCTTCCTCTTTGTATTCCACACACTTATCCAAGGGCTGTGGTTTTATTTCTTTAACGACTGGAAATACTTTATTGCGTCAAAGTGTACCTGGCAGACAATTCTAGTTTTGTGATCCATCTGTGTGATTAGGCTCCTTCTAGGCACTCAATTCTGAAAAACAAAAAGGAAATATGTCATTTCCTTACTGAAATGTCTATGAGCAATCCTAGAACTGTGTTAAAGTCTGGTTGTACAGTGTGTGGTTTAGAATTTTGGTTTATTTTATTTATTCTATAAATTTCTACATAAGTGCTGTTTTGAGATTATTTTGATCTCCTGATACATTTAGTATTACTAAATGATACAGTACATGTAGTATTTCTAATACAATTTAAAATAATATTGTGTTCATGCCATATATTGTTTTAAGAAAAAGCTGTGACAAATCAAAGGTCTTGTGTTTGTTTTGTGGTATGAAAAAATAAATCTGTGCATTATGTAATTTAAAGAACTCCAGAAATATTTTTTTTTCATTTACTATCACTGTTAATAAATCTAATTTGACTCTGAATGTAATAAAACTTAGACATCTTGCTAAATGATTATTTTTAGGTAAAATATTCTGAAAAAAATAGGTGAAGGAAACATGCAATATCTGAAAATTTGAATAAATAATCTACCTATATTAAAATAAATACAATCACATTCACAATAAAGTGAATACTGTAATTCTTTCTGCAACAAGACTGGGAAATAAAATGTGTTCACTATTTGGATGAAATGGGAAAACCTATTGTGTCTGATTGCAATGCCTAAAGTGTTTTAGTTTGTTCGAGAAGAGCTTGGTTGTGGTGTCAGAATAGATGTTCAAACCAAACTAAATAATTTTACAAACATGTTCCATGGGAACCTCAGAGATAAGAAATGTCACAAAGCAATGGCTTTTTTCCTCACTTACTCCATAGATGTCAAATGAAATGTATACTTCTATCAAATGTTTTTATCCACCTTTACTTCTTGTCTCCCAAGGTGTTATCGCCTGTGATAAGTCACTTTAGTGTGCGAGTCAATCAAAAAGTAAAATCAAACAACTGGTTTAGAAACAATGCCAATAGAAGAAACAATGTTCAACTATGTCCTATGTTACCGAGATGTTTTATCTCTGCAAAGATTTCAGGTAGAAGATATTATAAAGTGTCCTAATGTCAAAGAGTTTGTTTTCTTTCTTGTCAATGATTTCCACTGTATATACAGTACATCAGTAGTGATATTTTGAGGTGATACTAAAGCAAGAACTAAGTAATACTGCACATCTATTCTTATCAGAGCTGCTTTGCTTGGAATCATAATAAGCAGTATTTGTAAGTATATGTTGCTCTGTAAGATGGGAAGGAAGCTGCAGGAACTCGCTTCTGATATTCACCATAGGTGAACCACTTTTAAAGAGGGGACCAAGCCCCAGATTTGCTGAAAAGCAGATCTATCACATTTTCTATTTTATTTTTTACACACAATTAAGCAGTATCTATCTTTAAACAACACAAATGAAGTCTTGTACTGCCCTTAATATGTGCTTTATTAAATAAATAAGGAAGTCAGGTTTGCCCAGCCTAAATGAAAGCCCTGGCATTAAGGTTTGTGCCACAATTGTCAAGTTTATGTTTTTTGTGTTCGTTACTTTGGGCTTTTCTTTTGTACTCAGAATATTTAAGACGTAGGCGTTTTCATATATGCACTAGTTTTCCAGTACTACTGTATACACTAATTGGATTGTAGACTTGGAATAACTTTTAGATTGTCTCAAAGGGAACAAAATGTACCACCCTCACTGCATTTCATGACATTTATGCAATTCAAAATGCAAAACAAGAGATCAACAATTTCAGTCCTCTGAGTCTTTTTTGTTTTATTACGCTGGTACTAGAATCTGTGTATTATTGAAGAACTCAATTAGTAGGACAAAAGTGAAAGAAAGGAATTCAACAATGTGATATTGTACCTAGACACATGTCTTTATTGATGTCTCTTTCACAATATCAAGCAGAATTTAGAGTTCAGAAGATTTACATGTGACCTTCCATGACGTTTGATAGCGAGTGGGCCTGGTTTAAGTGCAAAACAGAGTAATTTTATCTAATGTGTTCTCATCTCTTATCTGGTGTCATTTTCCTGGTTGAGTGATATGTGTGTTGTGCACTTTTTCTGGCAGTAATTCTGGAAAATATGTTCCCAAGGGTTTGTCTGAAAAAAGGGCTGCTGATATGTGAGAGTTTAATTTAAAGTGAATTTGCTTATAGATATGATCTCTCCAGAATCTGCAGTAATTATTTTCCTTTTGCAACATTAATGCCTTTTTTTAATATTTATTTTTTAACAGGGTGAATTGGGGGAACGAGGTGAAAAGGTAAAAGTTTGTTTCACACCATTTTTGCTCTCTTTGTGAAATGCCTTCTGTTTATACTTTAAACATATTTTACTATACATACAGTAGATCAACTTATCTTTGTATATTCAGAGGAGACATTGTGATAATATTCTTTTCCATATAGCACTAGAAAAAAAAGTTTTGATAATTTTTCATTTTTATTCATTTGCTAGTTATTGATTATAATAGTAATACATTAATTTTCATTTTTTCTTTGCTACTGTACAAAAATGTTGTCTTATAAAAGAACAGTTAGAAAAGAGAGGGACCCATTCAGCCTATCTCACTCTGTTTTTCAATAGCCAATTGAAAAAGAAACAACCATTTCTTTTTATGCCAAAAAGAAACAACCATTTCTTTAAAAAAGGCAGGATATCATCTTCAACAACAGAGCTGGAAAGCTTGTGCCATAATCCTACAACCTTGTTTATACTCAGACCTCTGTAAAGGCACAATGCTGAATTTACAAATTAGAGTTTTTCAATTAAAGTGTGGGTCTAAAAGGCCAGCCTGTCTTGAGGTGTCCTGGTGAACACAGAGTCATATGATCTCCCTATAGTATATAAAAGCACCCACTGATCCTTGGTTAATCTTCATTATGTGTGGGAGCCATATCAGGGATAATGGATATAAAATGATATAAAAGATTCCAGTTAACAGGCGAACATTGGGAAGCCTGTGGAGAATGATGGAGACTGATGTGTCACATTCTTATTTTTCAGGGCGACATGGGGGAGAGCGGACCTAAAGGGGAGGTGGGCGAAAAGGTAAGTCAGTTGGTACAAACATAAATTTACAGGCTTTCATACCTTTGCAATCTTTTTTTCTTCTGAAACTTGATCTAAAAAGAAACTGGCTGTCTTTCAAGGAGCAGTTCTATTTAATGTAAGCCATCTGAGCAAGCTTGATGAAAAGCAAAGTAGTCCAATGAAAAGTGGCCCTTATGAAACAGAAAGTTAAGTTAAAGCAGATATGATATGTTATATGCATACTTTCTTTATAAGTAGATTTAATTTGTGCTCTTGACGTGTAGTAAACTATACCCACTTGGATCCCTTTTAGATTTATAGAGAATAATTGATCATTAAGACTTCCATTTAGAAAAAAAAACAAGATTGTCATTCAATATCATTGAGGAAAGCATACTTTGCAGTGTCACTTTTACCTTACAACACACACAGTATAACGAACATTTTTACAAACAGTGAGACTATGATGATTATAAATCTGCATCAGTTTGATGCTGCAAGTATAATATAAGTTGAAAAATGTATGTTTATGACAGGGAATTTTTTGCGAGGTTATCCCACACAATTTTTTCCTACCTGGAAACATACAATCAATCACTGTAATTGTAAAGTTAGATTGGTGCAAGAGTTTGAGTGTTGATTTCATTCAAGCTTATGTTTATGTCAATTTGACTGTATATGTAAGGTGCAAGCCTATGTTACTGTAGACTATTCAATAGAATCTTGGAGAGTTCATGAATTGGAAACTGAGAAAACAAATGAATGGAATTCCATTTTGAAATTAAGATCAGTCACTTATGTGATAAGGGCAAAATAGATTTTCTAGGAGGGTAAAATATGAACAGTATGATTCTGCTCTTTCTTATGGACAAGACAATTGCAAATTAGGTGTAATTAAACACAGAGAAAGGTTATTGGAATTGTTGATAAAAGGCTCAGTGAACATGTGAGTTAAGGCATAAAAATATCAGCGCATCTTTAAATGTACTGTGAAGAAAACTGTAGTAAACAGAATTTGCATCAAACTGTATGAGTTTTAAGAAAAAGGTCTGGAGTCTCCAACTTGATTTCTGGATGGAAATTAATATGAGCTTTAAAGAAAGTGGTGTCATAGTGACCGTATGAGAAGGGATTCTGTGAATTGGAAGGGCTAAGCCTTATCATACACACTGAGAATTGTAAGATAGATAAGGTTTTAGTAGTATCTTTTACAAGAGGTTTTCTTACATGGGAGGCACTGCATAGCAGGAATAAACCTTACACCTGATTCTGGCTGTAATCAAGGGACAATAAAACATCAGGAGAAAGAAAAGCTTCCCATTGCAAAAAAGTACTTTTAACCTTCTTATAATATTTAGAATTCTTATAATATTCGTTTTTTTTCATTATAATCAAAAAAGGATTCTGAAGTGCAACAAATAGTTTCAATTTCAAGTTTTAAAATCTTGGAAAAAAAACCTGTATATCTCTTCTTGGCAGACCAATACTAATTTTGAGATTCGCACAATTATATCTTTTGACAGAAAAACTAATATACATCACTAAAATATTCAGTGCAGAGCCAAAAGAATAACCTGATTAAATAAACTTTTGTAATATTGTACAGCAGCTAATGTGAAATGGGATCTGGCCAGAATAACATACAGTCAATGGTGCAGAAAAAATCCATAAACTAGCCAGTAAAGCTATCTCATTTGCTTCAGCATATTCATGTCCGTGTATGTTATGTATTTTTAAACTACAAGTTGGTGATGTTAAAAGTTAGGGTATCACTATGGTATATTTGATGTGTTTAAGAGTTCTCATGGACCAGGCTGCTACAAGGTTACAGTAGCTTTTTTGTGGTTGAAAAGGAAAAGCAGAAAAGGTTTCACTCAGTCACTTGGCCTTGATTTTATCATTTGATCTCTTCTTTCTCCCAGTCCTTGTACTTAACTATAAAACACTACTTTTTAAAATAAAAATAATCCAGTTGACATCTATAGTTTTGCGATTTTTAATAACTTTCCTCAAAAACAAGATAAAAGTGTTTGTATAGAGCCCAAAGCTAACCACTGCTGTTAAATAAGCATAAAAGAAAAACAACACTACATCTCTCTTAACTGCAGGGTAGACCATAATTCAGTGGCTCCAACACTGCCTGCTCTTGCATCAAAATGTACTGAATTAACATCATTAATCTGTTTTATCCAGGGTGTTTCAATCAGATGCTAAGGTATATTGAATGACAGATGATAAATCTGTAAATCTATTGTCTTCAGCTATGCAAATGCCTAATGATCTTAGGTGATTATAGGTCTGGATATACTTTATCTTCCCTTCATTTGTTGCTCATCGTTCTGAGCAATATTCCCTATAAGAAGTACAATATGGTCATTGTAAAATGAGTAAGAAAGATTCCTTTTCTAGGGCAATATTGTCCTGCAATATCATAGCATCATACTGGAGTGTGTGGACACTATAGTTTCATTGTATGGTATTAACACAAGTACACAGGGCAGATAAGAAAAGAAAAGCGGCAGATCGATTAATCTAGCTCATGAAGCATGCTTTATCTTGCGACTAGATCTCAGCAAGATCTAAGGAAATTGTGAAATGTGAAAACACAGGAAAAGTCCATATCTCAGCCGTGCATCAGCACTATTTGGTACTATTAAACCAGTCCTCTGAGGTATCAAGTCACCCTGCGTGACACTGACAGTCTTGCATCTTGTTTGTGGTACCTTGTTTTAACATGCCTTGCTACCAGACTCTGTTCATATAAATCAGAGATGCTGTCTGTGTGAGGCTTGCGGGTGCTCTGTGTGGCTTGGCATGCTGTGACTGTGGATATCCACACAAGGCCCTTGCTGCTGTTTCATAATGAGAAAATTATATTGCTTTGGTTTGACAGGTTCTTGCGACAGAAGGCAAATCAAATTGCTGAAAAAAATTTAAACCAATGCTTTAGAAAGATTATTCATTGGCTTTCTTCCATGTTCAATTATTCATGTACCTTCTTTTAAAATTATTAAATTATTATGTTTAGACCAATAAGTTTACATAATGAAATATATTGTCATTTTGTTTATCTATTTTAAATTGTATCTGTGTACCTATCGCTGTTTTTAACTATTCTCTCCTTTAACTGTAATGTAATTCAGTTTTAATGTATCAATGGTTTAGTGAGAAAGTGTTTTTAGATTTGTTTGTATATTCTCATCTTACATAAAGGACACTTGGCAATTAACTGTATAATACTAAAAAGTCTTTTTCTTGCCTTTTGCTTTTAAAGCACAGTATTCATTGCGAACTTGTGCACTTGAATGTTGTCCAGTAAGTGTTGATCCAAAGCAAACATCATGCTTACTCAGATACAGTAAAATGTAATCATGAAATACCAAATATACTAAAGTTGATTTTAATAATTGGAATCCAGTTCAGATTTAAAACATAGGATTAAATAATGAATGCATAAACAAATTATATTTTCCAGCTACTTATTTTAATTGGTTTCAGAATTGTTAGATTTATTTTGAAAAAGAACAATAAGGAATGTTAAATTCCAAGACTATTTGTGTGTCCACTGCTGAGTGATGTGAAGTTTAATTTGAATCTAGACCCCACTAGATTTAAATTAAACTTTGCATCACTCAGCATGTGTGGCATCTTTAAACAATTACTTTTGTGCATGATTTGTAAAAATCTAACAGGGTGTGAAATGAATAGTGACTTGCAACAGCAGTCCAACTGTGCTTGTTTTAATTTCAGAATCAAAACTAATAGTAATAATAATAATAATTGCTTACACTTATATAGCGCTTTTCTGGACACTCAAAGCGCTTTACAGGTAATGGGGACTCCCCTCCACCACCACCAGCACCCACCTGGATGATGCGACGGCAGCCATAGTGCGCCAGAACGCTCACCACACATCAGCTATCAGTGGGGAGGAGAGCATGTAGCCAATTCATAGAGGGGGATTATTAGGAGGCCATGATTGGTAAGGGCAAATTGGAAATTTGGCCAGGACACCAGGGTTACACCCCTACTCTTTTCAAGAAGCGCCCTGGGATTTTTAATGACCACAGAGAGTCAGGACCTCGGTTTTACATCTCATCCGATGGACGGCGCCTGTTTACAGTATGGTGTCCCCGTCACTATACTGGGGCATTAGGACCCACATGGACTGCAGGGTGAGCGCCCCCTGCTGGCCCCACTAACACCTCTTCCAGCAGCAACCTTAGTTTTTCCCAGGAGGTCTCCCATCCAGGTACTGATCAGGCTCACACCTGCTTAGATTCAGTGGGTTGCCAGTTGTGAGTTGCAGGGTGATATGGCTGCTAGTAGGTAGTGTGGCATAAATTCAGTGTGGAGACGGAGCACTGGATTAAGGGTGATGCTTTGCCATAACAACTACAACTGTCCTGGCTAATTAAGGATGAGCCGCACCTGTGGGGACCCTTTAAGGGCACATTGAGCATGTCCCAGAAGATGACCAAATTATTATTTTGTTAAATCAATATATTTCGCATTTTTTAACAAAAAAAAACTATTTCAAAGCTAAAAGCAGGAAGCTTAAAATCTTAAAATGGGCCTGAGAATTGCTTTATTGCTACCAAGTTGGAAATTGAATTGTAGACTTACTGATGTAGAGGGATAGTCTAGAAAATTTCTTAGGTTCTAAAACCAAATTCAACAGTCACCTACCTCAACAAAATGGATTCTTGTTGTATGCACCACTCCGATTACAGAAATTGTGCTGTTCAGAATGTTCCTTCCCTGGTTGTAACACTGTGTCAGCCTTCATTATTTCAAAAGTGGCTTCTTTGATGCAACAGTCCTTAACACTAACTCTTTAAACCATTCTTCAAAACATCAGTCTTCATTTACACAACATTTTTGCTTTATGATAGTCAGGTGAAGTTATCAGAGACCACATGACAACATTCCAGTTTAATTAAATTTGTATTTGCTCTCATGTATTCATTTCTATACTTGTTCTCTAGAGCAGCAGAACATTTTTAAATATAATATAT